AAATGGACTAGAGCTCCATCAGGAAGGGCCCAGGCTGACTAAGGTAGGGGAGGTCAAAGGGGGTTGGGGGTCACATCTGCAGAAATGTATCAACTGGCAGATCGGCCCGGCTGAACCAAGAGAAGGCTGGATCCAGCTGGTGATGAGAACAGTTAAATGTCAGCCTTGGGAGTCAGGCCTTCTGTCTTTGGAGAGGAGAGAAAGGACGCCAGGGCTCTAGTGCAGAAGAGCACATTGGAGGCCAGAGAAGGGAGGGGAGGAGCGGGGAGGGGAGCAAGGGAAGGCCTCTTGCCAGCACAGAGGGGCTTGGATGGCATGTCACTCCTGATGGCCAGACACGTCCAGGTCCCAGCCCACCTCTGGGCCACCTTCTAGAAGCAACTCTGGCTCCGAGCCATGGCTCAGACCCCAGCTTGAGCTCGTTCTGGTTGATCCCCTCGTGTGAGTGGCCGCCAAGCTGCTCCTGCTCAGTGGGGCGCTGGGGAGAAGCCTGCTTTTCGTTCCCGTGCCAGGCCTGAGCTGGCAGCCCCTGGCGAGGCTGTGATGTCTCCCTGAACAGCTCCAGCTTTAGGAATTAATTCTACTAAACAGATTGCTCAGAAGCTTCAAGGTCACCTGGAAATGTCAGTCTGTTCCTACATTAGGAATACAAGTCCAGGTATACGGGCTAGAAATTTCCAAGCCCACAAGAACCCTGGAGCACTAGAGAACTGGGAAGGCTCTTAGCTGCCTGACCCTGAAGGTGATGCGTCAGGTTGGCGGCCTGCTCTCTGCAGGACTTTTGGGAGTGGGTAGCCCTGCCCGTGCCCTGTACCCTGGAGCCCACACAGTGGGCTGCACACAGATTCAGCAGCCTGCCACTTTCTAAACAGAACTCCCAGCAAGGGACGGGTGGGCTCTGCGCCACTGCAGCAGGGTGGGGCAGCTTGCTGCTGCTCAGAGCGGTGCCCTCCTGGTCTCGCTGAGCCAAGGCCCTGGTCTTCCTGGGTCTCCACATCTCACTGGCCCACTTTCTGGCTAACAGGACACCCCAATCCTTGTCACCTGCAGCCATCCCAAGCCTCAAGATCCCAAGCAGCCTGTGGACCACCAAAGGGAGTCAAGGAGCCCTCCTGGTCCGCGAGTGAATAGACAGGATGTTCCCAAACAGCAGGCCTGGGCCAGAGAAAAGCTGTGCCTTCGAGAGGAGCGATTTCCCAGTCACAACATGGGAAGGAGCAATAGAGCCAGCAATTAGTGGTCGGAGAAATAAAAGGGAAGACGCAGCACGGCAGCTGCCCGTCTGCCCTTGCTCACATGGAACTGCGTTATTGCCCGAGTGTGCTGGGGCGTGGGTTGAGAGAGCCCCACAGAGCTCTCCTCTGCGGCCTTGGCCTTGCCTCTTAAAGCAACAGAGGCAGCACGGACCTGGCGGGAGGAACGGGCAGCTTTCGCAGCAGGCAGGCCTGGGCTGGCCTGCGACGCGAGGTTCACTGTGACCTGGGGCAAGAATATGGCCTTTCTGAACGTTGTCTCCTTGCGTCTAAAGCAGTGGTAATAAGAGGTGAGCTGAGCAAAGTGGCTCCCACAGTGCCTGGTGGGGGAGCGCTCCACTGGGGGGAAGAAAGCAGCGGGGAGCCCAGTGCAGCCTGAATTAGTTCTCCATCTGCAGCCAAGCAAGGACACCTCTTTCTGTCTCACATGGTGGCTTGTCCCTCATCACTCATTTGCCAGAAGCATGCAGTGTGTGGCTCCCTGCCGAGAGAGCCACCATTCAGTATGTCCATGCACTGAGTCAGGGCTGAAAGGGCTGTGCCGGGCTCCTTGGTGGCCCTTTTCATGCTGCTGCCCGTGCCACTGCCTAGACCCCCACCCTATCCACATTTCTCTACTGGCTAGATTGGAATGTTCTAGAGTGAGCTCAGGCTGATAACCTCCCCTAGAAAAAAGGGGACAGGAGCTCAATAGCCCTCTCATCCTGCTGAATGCACTCAGGAAAAGTGGCCTCCCCTTCAGGCTGCCTGACCTTCGAGGTTGGGAAGTGAGGGTATCAAGTTGGCAGATTTCCTCTCAAGGAGGTCCAGAGTGGGAAGAGCTCCATCCTGGGAGGTGGGTGGCATTATTTGTCACCCCATCCTGGACCCACATCCAGGAGAACTTCAGGCAGGCTCAAGGATTTTGAGATGTGGGTTTACAGGGCTAGCTGTATGCCTGGGGCGAGAGGCTTGGCCTCTGTGAGCCATAGTTTACTTACCTGCAAAATGGGAGCAGGAGCACCCAGTACATAGGGGTATTTCTCCACCACATGCAAGGTGCTCCACAGATCAGGGCTCTTTCTTTGCAGCAATAAAAGCAAGCCTTGCACCCAGGCACACGTGTACTGGCTACGCCTGTGTGGAATTGCTTTGGGGGTGTTCCCATTGAAGTAAATGCATGATCGTATGTGAGCACTTAGAACCATGCCCGGTGTAGTAGTATCAGCGTTCATCCAGAGGGCATCCCAGCCTCCATGCCAGGTGCTCGTAGCTGCAGGTGACTCTGGAAAGTCAGGCTGCTTTCTAGGCCTTTGGATGCTGGAAGAGGTCAGCCCAAGCAGCCTTCAGGGCCTGGACACTTCCCACTGAAGACACCCCCATCTTCCTCCCCAGAGTGGGCCCTTCCTGGTCCCCTGGCTGGCGCTCATGGTCCCACAGCCTGTGGCAGGCACATTTTTGCCACCACACTGGCTGGCTGTGCTCCCGAGAGCTCCCACGGACCCTTGCTGATCGGTGAGGTCCGGGCTGAGAACAGGCTGACGTGCCTCATGATTGATATGCCTGCCGCCTAAAGGAAGGCAAGGCTTTATTGGGAGATTCAGGATGGATTCGAATGGCCAGCAGGCTGTGCGACATTCCTGGGTGGAAGACTAAACATTGTAAAGAGGTCAGGCTTCTCCACACACTTAGAGATTTAATGCAAGTACAACTCCACTCCCAAAGAGAATGAACAAAATTATTTTAAAGTTCATCAGTTAGTACAGGGCAAGAGTGCCAGGAAATACACGAAAAGCAAAAAGCAGAGAGGAAAGGCTCTAGGCCTCGCTGTTAAACATGATTTGGAGTAACAACAACTAAGACGGTTGGTGCTGATCCAGAAGTGAGGTGTGCGGCTCATTGGGAAGTAATGGGAGGCCCCTGGTTAAAGTAACAACTCACCGTGTGCCAAAGTCCACACCCCACAAGGGGGAGGGAGAGAGCACTGGCCGGTTTGTGTCTAGCACAGTAGAAGAAGTCCACCTCTGTCTGCCAAGGTAAGGTAGTCAACTACTCAAAACGGCATATCTCAGTAAATAGAACCGAACCTGTGTCAGTTCTTTGAAAGGGTAACTTTCTAAGCTTTGAAGTGACAGAAAAAAGTTCCACCGAAGACCAACAAATTTAAAATCCAGTTTTTAATTTAAAAAACCTGAAACTTCTGTTCAGAGAAAAAATATCTCAAAAGTCAAAGAACAGCCTAGAAAATTGTAATAGCAGGTGAATATCAGTCTTATGAAAGGCTCCTAAACAAAAGCATGGAAAATATTTAACTTCAGTTGTTAATAAAGAAATATAGGTCTCGGGGTCGGCCCGGTGGCGCACTGCGCTAGTGCGCCGCTTGGGAAGTGCGACAGCGCTCCTGCCGAGGGTTCGGATCCCACATACAGACCGGTTCCCGCTCACTGGCTGAGCGAGGCGCGGGGGCAACACCGAGGGTTGCGATCCCGTTGCCGGTCCCGGTCCGGTACGGGGGCGACACTGAGGGTTGCGATCCGTTGCCGGACACGGAAAAAAAAGACACACACACAAAAAATATATATAGGTCTCAACAAGGAAGAACATTTTGCTCTTATGACATTAGCAAGAATTAAGAATAGTGATAGTTGGGGTCAAGGACCAACCACTGAAGCTCTGCTGATGGCCGAAAAAGTGATAGAAACGTTTGGGGATAAAATTTGCAAAATGTGTGGAGAAGTCTTAAAAGAGTCATATCCTCTTACCCAACATCAGCCACTTTGGGGAACCCAAAAGGGAAAGTCTCCAAATGGTTGTCAAGCCAGTTCCACTGAACTCCCCCAGGCCACTGTGAGGATCCCACAGGGGGACACTGGGCAGTCCTCCCCGACTGTCTACACCCAGAGTTTCTTTTTGTCTGTTTTTATGTAGACTGTGGAAATTCCCAGCAAGATTTCATTTAACTAAAAGTTTGCAGGGCTATAAAAAGGTTTGAAATCCACTGATCTGAAAAAACAAAGAGGTGCTTTCTGGAAAGATGTTCATTGCAGTGTGACTTATAACAGCAAAGAGACTGGATATGACCTAAATGTCTCTCCCCATGAGGAAGAGACTGAGTAAATGAGAACATGTGTGTTGGATGGAAGAGTACAAACACATCACCTGTGGAGATGCATAACCTGGAGACGTGGTTGTGATAAAATATTTGGGGACCAGCACATATACCCTGACTAAAACTGTGTAAAATGACAGCTATGCACAGGCTGGGCCTGGCACGAGCTGCAGACAATGACATCAGCGGTTTGGTTAGGGTGGGGGGCTGTGAGCAATTTTTTAAAAATCTGTTGTGATCATTGTGATAGTAATATCACAAGTGACATTTCTTTAGGTTAAAAAAAAAAGATGACAATACCCTTCCATGCAAGTAGGTGTCAGGACATGGCAGGATATCTGCCCTGGGTACAGACTGAGGCCTTCTGACTGGTTCATTCCTGGTCGTTAAGTTTTCAGATGAACCAAGTGAAATTGCCATATTCATAGTTCAAAAATTTCAGCAATTTAATATGGTTCAGTGACTATTTTGACTGCTGCCCCTGAGTGCAGGAAGTACTTGAGAACTTCCTAGGTGCCCAGCCCAATGGAGGTACATTCCCGCCTCCAGGAAGCTTACTAAAAACTCCAGGACAATAGAAGCCCAGAGCTCCTAGAGTCTCTTTGACTGTCTGACAGTCTGTCTGTCTATCTATGTGTCTGTCCCTCTTATGCCTACAGGCCCTGATCCTTCACCAGCTGGGCCGCTACAGTCTGGCAGAGAAGATCCTCCGGGATGCAGTGCAGGTGAACTCAACAGCCCACGAGGTCTGGAATGGGCTGGGTGAGGTCCTCCAAGCTCAGGGCAACGACACGGCAGCCACCGAGTGCTTCCTGACAGCCTTGGAGCTGGAGGCCAGCAGCCCCGCTGTGCCCTTCACCATCATCCCCCGCATTCTCTGAGCGGGCACCACCGGCCTCGCCTGCCACTCAGGCCCCGGAGGCCCATTGCCCGGAGGGACGCACCCGCCTCACGGAGGCCAGGGATGAATGTTCGATTGACCACAGTGAACTAACCAAACCAACCTGAATCATCGCTCTCTCCACACACGTTTCTCTGGTTGTTTTTGCCAGCCCAATGGTAGTTTCTGACCTACTGACCTTGTTCAAAATGGATTATGTGCCATATTTTGTTGTCATCTGAGTTTTAAGTAAAATGATTATGGAATTAATCAGCAGATGTAGAGGAATATATTCGAAGTTAAAGTTCAGTGGCGGAACAGATTATTTTTATCAGAGCTGTAAAGAAAACTGTCCTCTCCTCCTACCGTCACTCTTGCCCCACTTGGCCCAGAAACCAAATGTGAACGTTCTGTTTCCCACCTCAGTGCTAGTCCACGCCAGGACACCAGCTGATAACTCCCTGGTTTTATTGTCAATAATTGTACCATGTGATGAATTACTGTCCGCACTTAGAACAAAGCCTGAGTCCAAGAATATTTATATTTTACCAATATATGCCTGTTACAAGAGAAGGAAATATGAGTTATTTAAGTTTAACTTTTTTATGTGAATTCAGAGTTTATTTATCGATGGAAATATGTACAAAGAAGCTTCAAATGGAATATTTACCGACATTCCTTATACATGACGGACACTTGGCTAAATGGGAAGATGATGTTAATAATAAAATGATTTTTAAATGGACCCATGACCCATGTCATTCTTAAAAGCCCACAGACCTGGGAGAGGTTATGGCTCAGTTCCTGGGGTGGGAATCTGTCTGTGCCTGGGGACAGGTCAGCCCTGGTGCTAGGAGGCCACTACATGGCAGGGGGCTGATCTCCGTGAGAGCAGCTGCAGAGACAAACCTTGGGCGAGGTCCTGGCCACGTCGCTCCTGGCCTGAGCAAGGCTGCCCAAGCCTCTCTCTCCTCACTTGGAATTTGAGGGGTTTTGTGGTAGATATATGTTTCCTGTGTCCTTGGCATCCAGGCCTCTTTTTTGCAGCAACAGCCCTAATGTAGTTTGGGAACTCACCTTTTCCAGCTCTCTCCATGTTGTCTGGATGGGGCTGTGGGACTGGAGCATGTGACTCAGGCCTGGCCAGTCAACATCCTGCATTCAGTGGCCACAGAGGTTCAGGAATGAGCATGTGACCTAAAGTCCAGTCAGAGTGGGAGCAGCAAGGAAAGGCTCTCATGCTTTCCTTCTGGAACTTAACCCTGAGAGGCGAGGCTGGAGCTGCAGCAGTCCTTCTGCCACCCTGAGGGGAAGGCATCGGGGGGTTGGGGCCAAGGACTGAGTTCAACAGAGTGGACAGCAAGACCAGGAATCAGAGAGAGACTGAGCAGGCTTCTGCAATCCCCCAGAGCTGCTCAGTTGAGCAGCTGTAGGGTGGCCCCACCTTGCCAGGACCCAAGGAAATGTGAAGGGCCTAAGCTCTGATCCTAGGTACCCAAAGACCTAGAGGACCCCATCCAAGCTGGGCACAACCTCCTTGATTCACTGAGGCAGGCAGGCAGGCGAGGGGGTAGCTAAGGTCTGGGGAGAGACAACAGATAGGAGCCTGCTGTGGGCAGAGCAGGTAGGCACTCCAACCTCAGTACTGACCCTACCAGGCAGCATCTGGAGCTGTGGGTGTCATAAGTCATGGAATTTGCAATGTCAGACAGTGGCGGAAAAGGGCAGGTACTTGGGAGGGTAGCAGCTGGCTCTGGCTGGAGGCTCAGGGCCCAGCCCTGCCATCCTGTGCAGGAGTGTGGAGTGAGGCCCACCCAGATCAGAGCCAGGAAGTCAGGAGGCCGGGGCTGCCCGAAGCTAATGGTCCAGGCACTATACCAGCCACTTTCTCCCATGCCTGGCTCTGGGCCAGGCCCTTACCTCAAGAAATCCCATGCCCATCAGCCCGTGCAGGGTGCTGGAGATGCTCCTGCTGCCGGCCTGACATCCATGTCCTCCATCATTCCGTGGGGACAGCCACCCCTCCCTCAATCACTCTCCACCCTCAGGGCTGAAGGATGGACACATGGGCCCGGCCTTGACAACCAGAGTCCCATAGCCCACTAATTTCAGTGATGGGTTCAGGCTTGGGTGTGTGACCCAAGCTCGGCCAATGAGAGGCCCCGTGGGACTTTTGTTATGGAAATATTAGGAAAAATCATCTTTCTGCTGGGTTCGATGTCCTAATAGGAATGTTGGCCGGGGGCTGCTGGTGGCCATTTGGCACTGTGTGGGGCCCCCTACCTGAGGATGATGCCAACTCAGGAAAATAGAATGAGGAGGTGGAGAGAGACAGGTCCCGGGGTCACCGCTGGAGCACTGAAGCCCCAGACTTCTCCATCACGTGAGCATTTATCACCTTCTAATATTTTTTGAGTTTACTTATATACTTATTACATTGATTGTCTGTCTCCTCTTCCAGAACATAAGCACCAAGAGGAAAGTAATCTTTATTTTGCTCATATATCCCAAACCCTTAAAACAGTTCCTGGCAAATAACATGGGCTCAACAAATATTTGTTGAATGAATGAAAGAATGTGGCTGGGGTGAAAAAA